AGGAAGGGAGTCCAAAGGTGGTAGAGGGGGAGGGTCCTATTCAGACTAGTAACTTCTTTTGCATTCAATGCGTCTATGTGATTGCTTGTATAATAGTAAACTTTTTTTAATTTAGTTGAAAAATTTATTTAATTTTTTTGGGGGTATGTGTGTGGGTGTGGGTGAGTGGGTGAGTGTGTATGTGTGAGTGAAATGCTTTAGTCACTTTCTCCAGGATATTGCGTTTGTGGTGGGCGGTTGGATGAAGTAACAAGATGAGAGCACTAGTTCATGATGGTAGCTTTGCACGCAGTGCTGATGGTTCCATTCCCCCCGTCTTTCTCTTTTAACTGCTAGACACTTTGTTCGACTTTATTTTCACTATATTATCCATTTCTACCTAATTTGAGTGTAAAAAAAAAAAGAATAAATAAGATTAAAACATCTATTAATTAGCTTACTATGTTGCTCTTCTATTGTGAATACTTATCGATTTATTCTTCAGTAAGATTAGTATTCTGTGGCGAACTCACACACAAAAAAAGGATGATATGATATGAAATCAGTTATACCTAAAAAAACAGTTGTGTAGTTCCCGATACTGATATAGGGTTATTATCGTTAGAACCTTCTTTCTTCATGTGGAAGCTGTTAACACGGAGTGCGCTTTTTGTCACCCCATGAAATTGTAAAATAAAATAATAAAAAGCCCGCTAAACTACGTAACATGACACACTTCCTGCAAGCAAAAGTTTGTCTTATTTCGATGAAGGAATTTTATAATATAACTAATAATTTTTTTTTACCTTCAGTTTATTTCTATTCCTAAAGACTTTTCAGTTGAAGGCTTCTGCATATATTACAAAAGGAACTGGTATCGACCATAGGTAAGTCATCAGTCATATATTTTTTTTTAAGGTTGGGAGGGATTGAATGATCGTTGTTGAGCTTATATAAATCAATTCTTGTTTATTTATCGTTCTACCAAAATATATTTGCTAGATTTCTAAAATGACTAAAAGCAAATCCTTGGTGTCAACCAAGAAAAGACAGAGCGTTCTTCCCCTCCATCGCTGGCGCCGGATGGGTGAATCTCTCTCGTGTAATATGGCTCTACCTGATGTAAAGGTCCGTGCTTTCGATAAGCAGGGGAACATGACGACAAAACAATGCGGGATGGCTTCTTTTTACCTTAGACAGACAACGCTTTTTTATTTTATACGCTCCTATCCGTGGTCGTGGCTGATGGTGATTTCGATTGTCTTCTATTTAGTCCTTGTGATGGGCATTACGGGACTGTATTATGGCTGGGCGTGGGCCTGCGGGGGGCCCGACTCGACAAGTGCGATCACATCGCTTTACTTCACTGTGGTGAGCCTCGCGGCGAATGGGGGTTATATGGGCGAGGCCGCGAGCATGGAGAATCCAAGCAATGTCTGCTATTATGGACGAACCTTTATCGTTATGCTGGCTTCATTTACGAATATCATCCTTGTCGGGTTGATCGCAGCCCTAGTGGTGGGGAAGGCGGAGTCCACAGGAAAGTTTGGCAATCGTATCATTTTTAGCAATTTTTGCACGTTAACAAGAGCGACATGGCAGCAAAAGACCTGGGAACTGAAGTTTCGCATGGCAAATATAGCAAGCAAAAAGCCACTTGCACAAGGTCAATTGCATCTTTTTTGCATTTTTTTGGAACCTCTCAATGATGATCACACGCTGATAAAGACCTTGCTGGAGAAAGAATCGATTCAATGTAAAAAGGCATGCGCCTTAGATCAAGAAACTGCGCCGATGGAAGCACTCTCTAATGATGCTATTAACGAAACTCACGATCTGACTTCGAATAGCGCATTTGTTTCTGCGAGTAATGTGAGTCTCTCGAAGACTTCTGACCCTAAGAATAAAGACCCTGTAAGGGTTTCTGAATTTCTTGAAAAGTTATCCATTCGGGGAGAAGGAAACATAGATCAAAAAGAAAGCCCTGATGAGGCTGAATGGACTCTTCCAATGGAAAAAAACGTTGATACTATTCCCTTCCCTCTTTTAGGGCACAAAGAAGATGAAAAATCTGATGAGGATAAGAAGAACTCGAGCTCCGAGCGAGATACAAATCCTTTTATTATTAGGGTTCACAGTGATGAAAAAGAAAAACCACCTCGCGTTTACGGAGGAACCTCCAACGTAGAGGAGTGTGAAATAAACCTTTTATATACTCAGAAGAGGTCTGGTAATACTCTACAAATTAAGAATCGGTGTCAATCTAACACGTTCTCCGCTGAAGTGGATCCATTGCTTGGGAAATCCCACCCAAATAATCAACATGATTACTTGGAGGAACATTTAAGAAGTGAAGAAGAGAATTCAGGGCGTATTCAGCAGGTTAAGCTCAGAGTTGTGGAACTCCAGTGGAGTTGCTCGGAAGAAGAATTTCTGGATAAAGAAAATCGGCAGCTCTCCCTTTGGTATCCATCTACCATTTGCCATGTTGTTGATAAGCACAGCCCGCTCTATCGTTTTTTTTATAATCAGGTTAAAAATTCCTCGTTTTCGAGCTCTACAGATAAGGATAAGCACTCTTTGGATACTTCGTCTACGTTGATAGGGTTGCCTGAATTCTTTCAGATCGTGGCGGTATTTGATGGCATCGAGACTGAAAGTGGTGCTACAATTATGGAAAAACATGCTTACACATCCATTGATATTTTGAGAAATTATAAGTTTTCAAACAACCTAATGAATATGCACACTGAGAGCTCGGAGATCCACTTGAATTACAACTTCTTCAACGTAGTGTATCCTATAACGGAGGATTTTATTCATCGTTAATGAACAAAAAAAAATGTAGAATACCTTTAATATATTTTTTCAACAATTGAGCAAACTGTAAAATTTGTCTTTTTTTTAGATTTGCTCTAAACCCATAGTCTCCTTTAATTATATATATTTTTGCTATGCTTTCCTATAATTTATTAATGATAAGAAGGGGGAGGCAAGGATAATAAAGGAAATGTCAACTTTTCTTTTTAGCAATAAAGCACCAGACATGAATTCCTTCAAAACTCTTTTCTTTTATGAGGGTGTCTTTAGACAGAAATTATATAGATTGGAGTCCTTCTTCTTTCTGTATTGCGTTGCTTGAGCATTTTGCTAACCTTCCCTTTTTCAATATTAATGGTTGAAAGATTTATTATTATTATTTCTGTTTGAGATTCTTTCCTAAAGTTAACAAGATGACTCTGCAGTTTACCCTGCGAGGCACTTATTATGATCATGTGATATAGGATAATAACGGTACTACGATAGGGAATAGGGGAGGGGTGAAAGCCTTTTTTTCATGTCTGGGAAAGGAGATATTTATCTTTCAAGCAAGTTTTTTTTTTCCCATTAAGATCTCTATGATTTGATCTTTGCTTGTCGGTTTATACCCTTTACTATTTTAACGAGAAAAAATTCAAATAAAAACGTCGGTAAAATGCATTTAGTGTTTCAACGAAGTGCTGATGATTATATATTTGATAAATAAAAAGCCATACAATGTTATTTATGGGTCTTGCTTTGCTTCAAATATTTTTCCCTTTGTTTGCTAAATCTTTCAGATCTGTTTGAAGGGGGGAGGTGCGTTCGAACAATAGAAAATTGAATACTTCTAAAGGAGAAGAAAACAATCAACCAATAGCGGTAAAAAGACAACAGACGAAAGGGAAAAGTTAAACGACTCATTTTTCCACTTCACATTCATTTTCACGTGAAACAAACATATTTAACGCTTTGCATTGGTATAAAAGACGCATTTTTTCGAATGATACCACACAATCAACTTGTCCGCAACTGATACACCAAAAAAATACCCCATCACGGATGTCATTGAACCGGGATGACTTTGGACTGTCGAAGGCCATCTTTTTTGCACCTTCAAATTTCTCTTCTTACTCTTGCTTGCCGTGGTGGAAGCAGATTCTCGTGGATACGACGTATCGTGCACGGCTTATCGAGCTCGCCACGGTGGTTTATCGCAAGGAGCTCTTCGAGCTGGATCACCGTCCGGAGACGATCTCCTCCGGGCACGGCCAGGTCGGAAAGACGGTCATGGCGCAGTATGTCGCCCTCGAGCTCGACGAGCCCCCTTCCAGGGAAGGGGGGGAGGCGTCCTCCCGTGAGGGGCCCTCTCCAGCCCTGCAGACGCCCCCGTGCTTCGCGGCGCACCACCCCAAGTCGGTTATTCAGCACTCCGGGCTGCGCCTCTTCCGGCAGCGGCTGCTCACCGCGATGACCTTCGGTCCCCCCCCCTCCCATCCCGCCTGTGACAAC